TCGAAAGATTGGCGTGGAATCTTTTATAATATATTTTGGCAAGTTCTGTAACTGTAGGAATTTGGAGGTCTTAATAAAGAGATTCGTTGGTAATAAACCAAGGGACTCCCGTTAGCATTCTTAGACAAATAGACTGAAAAGCTTGGAATGGGCGTATATTTGAAGGTTTTGCGGGACCCCAAATTTAAATCCCATAAGACCAGACGGGTCTAATTGTAGCTTTATAAATTAAAGTTATATATTTGACTCAAATTTTAGATTTTAGGAGAGTTCATAAAAGGTGAAGACGAAAGTTAGCTTGTATACGTTTTGATTTTATAGGGAGCCCAAGTGAGGCGTTTATCAAGGATGATACCCAAATATTTTGTTGAGGAATGAATTGGGATCGGTTTTTCATTAATTTGGAGTTGAAGTCATTCATTTCGGCTTAAGGAAAAATTTACTTGTATAAATTTTTCTTCATTGATTTTTTTTTTCAATTTTTTAGCCCATTGGGCAATTTTGTTTAAATGAGGCTGTGGGAGATAAACTGCTATGACTGGATCTTTGCCAGAATCTAAAATTGCAGTGTCGTCAGCAAATGTGGCAAGTAGTGTTTTTGAGGATGTAGATATATCTGAAGTGAATACTTTGTAAAGCGCAGGTGATAGGTCACTACCTTAAAGAATTCCTGCTTCAATATGTTTTATATCTGAGTAAGAATTTAAATTTCATACAACAAATGAGCGGTTTTCGAAGTATGACTTTAATATTAAATAATAAGGTGCAGGAAGAAATGTCTTGAGTTTAAAAAGTAGTCCTTCGTGTCACACCCGGTCAAAGGCTTGAAAAATATCAAGGAAAACTCCTGGGAAAAATTTCTTTTGTTCGAGGATGGTAGCTATGTAGTCGGTAATTCGGTGAATTTGGTGAATTGTATTATGCTGAGATCTAAAACCTAACTGGCTTTTAGAAAAATATTATTTTCGTGTATTATAGGACTAATTATTCAAACAATTAACCTAAGGTGGGTAGTAGACTTATTGGTCGATAGGATGAAAGAATTTGTTAAGGTTTTTTTGGTTTAGGAACTATAATGATTTTGGAATGTTTCCAGACTAACGGAAAATAGGATAGTGTAAGTAATGACTTGTATATGTGGGTGATAAAGAGGATTGATTTTTTGATAGATGTTTTAATAACTTGTTAGTTATTAGATCATACTCAGGAGCTTTTTTGGGATACAGTTTTTTTATGATTTGTATGATTTCTAGGAGGGTTATAGGTTTGGCCGGAAGAGACATTGGTAGTGGAGAAGAAAGAAATTTGTGTACATTATTTTCATATAAAGTAGGATGATTTGTGAACTGGTGGGGGGTAAAAGTTTGACTGAGATTTTCACTAAAGCAATTTGCTTTTTCAGAGTTAGAAATAGCTAGAGAACCATCAAGTTGAACTAAGGGAGGTATTGTTACCTTTGGTTGCACAGGGTTTTTGTCATTTTCCAGAGAGAACTATTATTTGTATTTAATGATTCAAGATGAGTTTTGAACTGTTCATTTTTAAAATTAACTAACTGAAATTTAAGTGCATTTGCTAGTTTGTCGAAGGTGGTTTTGTCTTGGGGATAGTTTGTTCTTTGCCATTTAGATCTAGCTCGGCGTTTAGCTTTGAGTAGTTGGACTAGACGAAGAGGAAAAGCATGATAGTTTTTGGAATTTGGTACATTTTGGGAGGTCGAGGCACTACGAGCTGCATTAATGATTGCTTTGGTTAGTACTTGGATTTAATTATCTACGTCTATTTTTTTTTAAGTGGAGAATTTAAAGACAGTAACTCATCGACTTTTTGAGTAAATGAAGTCCAGTTGATAAGACCATGAGTTATTGAAGGCCTACAGTTATTGGACGGAGAACCTTCAATCAGCAAGAGTAGTGGAGAGTGGTCACGTGCAAGTCATTGAAACTGTTGATAGATATGTTCATATTGCTTGGGATGGATGAAAAGAAGAAATCTAGGATGTCAGGTTGCCTATTTGCATGGGATGACCAGTAAGTTGGTGAATCAGGATGTATAAATGAAAGATTTTTAAAAATTGCTACTTTATAGAAGGATCTCCCACGAGTATTAATGATACTACTACCCCAAGCCATGTGCTTGGCATTGAAATCACCACCAGAGATAAAATTGTTGCCAAGTTTATAGAAATATGATTGAATATTATTTTTCGTAATGTGTTGGCTAAGAGGACAATATATTAACGAGATAGAGGAATTTTATTTAGTTTGATAGAAATAATAGCAGCTTGAAGATAAGGCTCTTGGATAGGGGGTAGTTCATGGAAAAGTAACGAAGACTTAAGATTTAAGATTGCAGAGTCTGCATGAGATGTGCCATCTGGATGGTCAGCTCTGAGAACCTTGAACTCGTAGAGATTTAATTTAGTGTTGGGTAATAAGTGTGTTTCAGTAATTAAAGCAATGTCAATAATCTAGTCACGAAGTACATAATTTAGTTCATTTATGTGTTGTTTTAATCCATTAGCGTTCTATAGGATTATTGATAAAGAAGAAGCGATGTTTAAGTTATAAGTCATTTTTTAATAGCAATTTATTGATGACTGTAGTTAACAGAGGGATAAGTGGATTTATTAGGGACTTGAGGTCATTAATGAAGGATGCTAATTGAATTGTTAAATTTTCCGGAGGACTTAGTACATCTTGAAAACTAGTTGATTGCTGTTTGTTATTTTTTTGAGTGATTTGAGAATATGAGAGTTGGGGGAAAGTTTTATTAGTTGATTCTGAGATGACGGTATGATTCGGGTTAGTTTTAACAAATAAATTCGGGTTGCCATTTTCCTTGGAACTTGATTTTTGTTAGAATTGTTGCTGAAATTGGTTTCTGCGGTTTTGGAGATTTTTGAAATGAGGGCAACTTTTATAGTTTGCAGGGTGGCTGCCGGTACAAAGTGAGCATTTGGCTGGTAGATCACGGTTTTTTTGACACAATTCTGAAGGGTGGCAATCGCCACAGTGTGGTTTGCTATTACAATAAGATTTTGTATGACCATAGTCTTGGCAATTCATGCACTGTGGTGGTTGATTTTTTTAATTTAGGAGCTTCGATTTTGATTTTTGTGTAGCATATCTAACGAATTTAATTAAGATTAAGATATCACTATTATTTAATGATAGTTCAAGGTCAACAAAAAATAGAGGTAGTGGAATATTTGTTTGGGTTTGGAGGACATTTGTGATATTCCTGACAAGGAATCCATTTTGGTTTAATTGCTTTTTATGAATGTAACCGGCGTTGTTGGATGTAAATTTCTGATAATGATACGGTATAGCTTTTTTTCTTTTAATTGGTAGGTATATAAGTCTACATTTTTATTTTAAAATTTTGATTAAAAATTTGATAATAGCCCGAATAGATTTGGTAGTTGATAGATTTATTTTTGATGCACCTGTGGTACTTTTGTCAAAAAAGTTGGAATTTGGTTCTATTGCTTTCTTAATGTTTTCGCAGAAATCGAAATAATTTTGTATGATTGATTTGACAAAAATGGGAGGTGGTTTTTTATCAATAATATCAGTATCAGTATGGGTTTCCATATTTTCCTCGAGGTCTTTATGAGATAATAAATCATAGCGATTTTTTGAAGTAAATTGTTTGTGAGGATTGATACTTGTATTTTTCATAAATTAATTTAAGTTTGAATTTTCGAGAGATGAATTGGAGTTTAATTGTTTAGATTGTTTGACTTCATTCCAATTGTTTACAAAAATATCATTGCTATCGGAATTATTTCGAATGTTAGTCGATTTTGACTTTTGGACAGTTTTCTGATTAACAATTTTTTATCGGAGAAACTGGTTGCTGGTTGCTATTCATTATAATTAATAGTCACGGAATAAGATAAAAGCTGGAACGGCGATGCCGTGACATGCTAGTTGTAAAGTTCGATTGATTTGTTTGACAAATATATCGTATAGCGGCAGGTTTGATTTAAACAATTAAAACATTTATGTATTTGAAGGGATTGAATACTTGACGAAAGTGAACGCGATTAAGGTTACTCAAGAGAGCAGCATTAACTGGTTCAAATGATGAAAAATAAAATGAATCAATGCAAATATTGAGTATTTTTCGAGAAAAATATAACGGTGTATAAGCAGTGTACATATGGCGACTGCATGCGTGACAATGGTAAACACTCAAGAGATATTTTCGTACTAAATTACTCAATGGTAATATTTAAATTATATATTTTTTTTTTTTTTTTATTAAATAATTCAAATCTTCGAATAAAATTAATATAAAACAAAAAAAAATATTGCAAGAGTAATAATTGGCTTCGAATAAATTTACAGATTACGATTTACATTTTAAAATGCATATTAAATATTAATTATACTCATATTATATTATCTATCAAAAACAAAGAACAAAACATTTGTATTACACATTCAAATGTATTAACAATGAACTGATTTATAACCGATAGCTAAATTTTAATCTAACTAATTAATAAGCAAAACGATAATCATAGTAACTAGTTCATATCCTCTTCCATTATACTTCACTCGCTACAAAACGTCTTGATTTAATTACATTTTTGAATTCCTTAAGCCCCCCCCCTCCGATTTCTCGTGTATTTTAAATTTCAATTCTAAACAAGTCGTAAAATTATTAATATTTTGTTTATTCAGTAGAGTGACTTTGCCATTTAAACGTCTTTAGTTGTTTCCAATCGTTTTACTTATAATCATTACGGTTCTGTTTTTATTTTTAATTTTATTTTTTTGTGTGTTCATAAATTATTCGATGTAGTGTATAACTGTCGGGACGAATAGTTACTAATAGCTAATAAATAAAATATTACAATTTGTGAAATAAATGTTTATTTCTCGAACAAAAAAAAAAGCGCTTTAAAAAAACTTTTTTTTTAATATCTAACAATAATTAATATTATTAAAAACCAACCTCTATTTTTCATAGATTGAATGTATTTTAAGTCAGATAAATATTCCGATCGTATATTTCATTAAAAAATATACATTCGATTACTTTTTTACGGTTTTTCTCGTACCGATTCGTATTGTTCGAACTAGCACGGACCGCTGAAAACGACAACAATGATTTCGCAAACCGTGTCGGCCGTGGACGTGGTGACGGTTTGGACGACGGGACCGCGTTCACAGTTCGTCAACGGTTTCGGCGGCTCCGATGTCGAATATGTGCTGAACGACGTCCGCGATGAGATCGGTGGCTCGGTCACCGCCGAACGAAAGCATTACGCGCGTGATCTCCTCGACGTCCTTGTGCACGAAAGACATGACGTCGTCGAACGCGGTGCGTTCGATGCACATGACGCGCATGAAAAACGACACGCGGACCAGCGCGTAGAACGCCAACCGGCGCATTTCGGCGTCCACCTGGCCGCGGTCCGGCACCCGGACCACGTCGACCACGTCGGCCACGCACTCGGACAGCGCCGCGCAGTACTCGTCCAGCAGCGCGTCCCAGTGCGCTTCCCGGGTCCCGCGGTCCGTGTTCATGTACAGGAAGAACGACAGGTCGAACGCGGGCGAAACGTACCGCACGTCGGCCACGTCCATCACCAGCGCGTCCACGGGCGTGCCGTGATCGTCGTACCGGAACAGCAAATTGTTCACGTTGAAGTCACCGTGGCACAGCACGGCCAGCGGTTCGCGCGGCACCAAAACCGTCCGCAGCAATCGCTCCGCGCCGCAACCCGACAACTTGGCCCGGAAACGGCTCGTCCGACCGTCGCCGCCGTGACGTTCTTCCATCCGGTCCAGGCACACCGAGATCAAGCTTTCGATCACCTGGAACGGAAGCGCATAACTCCCGTCGTCTTTCCAATGCGTGTCCTTGACGTCGGCCACCATATCGGCAAACTCGTCCGAGGCCTTGTGCTTGGCCCTGTACGACAGCCCGTGAAACCTGTGAACACATCCAGTTCAATCCGATCATCGTTTAGCAATGTAACATCATCGGCTATAGCGATGGTCATCAAACCGTGGTACGTGGTAGTCAACATTTTTTAAGGGGTGCGAGTCTGGCCAACAAACCTTTATGTGGAATTGATTATTCAAGTTTAACTCATGTTAAAAGTATGATATATATATATATATATATATATATATATAAACAAATTAAAATGTTTTAGACGATTAAAGATTTTATTTAACTAAATTAGAATCCAATATTGATTAACTGTGCCTAAAAAAATCAAGCCTACTCTTTTTACTAATTTCTTTATATTCTAATTTCTCTCTTTTTGTTTTTAATATTTTTTGTGTATTAGGTTTTAATGAAATAAAAATTATAGCAAGTTTTTAAATTTTTATTTTAGTGAACTGACTAAGAAAGGGTACCCAAAAAAATGTATTAATAAAAAGAGATACAATGTTTATAAAAATTTGAGAATCCCTGAACTATAGCATCAAGGGATTTTTAAACCGACGGTCAAGATACCAACGTAAGTATACTTTCCTCCAAAAAAATTTGAAATGTAACAATAAGACAAAGAAATACATTAAAATAGGTTAAAAATCATTCATGTGTTATGGCCATGGAGAGGTAAAAAAATACGATAAATTTTATTCTATACATCCTAAAGATTGTGTGTTATTTTTTTTTTTAACTAAAATAATCAAATACTTTATACATCAGTAAAAAAACTGTTAACTCATTATTTTCTAATTTTTATAAAATGGGAAAACATAGAATGTATATGAATAAATATAATCGATCAATCTTATTCAAGATATATCTTATTCAAATATTATTGATTGGAAATAATTTTTTTTTAATGGATCTCAATTGAAAGTTTTATATGTGAAAATGATGTATTAACAACCAACTAAACCGTATAGATATGTCACACTTTTAGTGATTATTATTTATGTATGAGTTATAACCTATTAACATGATGATGTCTATGGAAGGGACACCTAATACTTACTTGCAACTGTAATCGATCTTAATAAAATGAACTTGATAAAATGAATAAAATTATATGCTAGTTAAATCAATATTTATTTCAATAGTTTATATAATAGTTTAATACTTGTTTTATATTTTGTAATTTAAATTAGTTATGTATATTAATTTCAATTTTTTTTTTTTATTGATATTAATTATACTGATAACAAATAAATATAAAAGCTGAACGTAAAACTGACTTAATCTATAGTGACTTTACCATGAAATGTGTTTCTTATTGTGTGTGCTGTGTATATGATTTCGGACAAAAATATTGTCGATTTGACTGACTTTCCGATAAAAACGTTGTTTAGTTGTTACTATAAAAGTGGTAATTTTACTAATTTCCCAATCGTTTTCTCAAAAAAAAAAAGTTAGAGGAAAATTTCAAAAATGATTAATGAGCTTTATAAAATGAAATTTGATTAAATCGAATATTTTAACAAATTTCATTAAATTCAGGTAATTAAATTTATTTAAGTCAGGTATTCTATAGTTTCAAAATATTTAAATGAAATTTGTGGCTTATATAAACACGACATTTTTGATAACCTAAAATGTTAGAGACTTTTTTTTTGTTGTGAAAGTTAGAACGTTACAAGTTCAATTTATCTTATTAAGAAATTTGTTTATTTTACTATATTAAACATCTTCAAATTTATACACTAAACCCATCTACTTTCTTTCACTTAGAAATCGTTTTTTACGAGAACAGTGGTAAATTGGTTTCAAGTATAAAATACTACTAATCTAGCAATACCATTAATTCATTCTTGTATCACGCTCAGCCTAAGAGTCTTTTCTTTCTTTTTAATTTTTTATTTCAATATATTTTTTACTGCCGTTGGCTTTTTATATATTATTGAAGTTTTTAGTAAAAACTTTAATATGCACGACAATCAAAAAAACTATAAACCGTCATTATTAAAAGGTTTCAATAAATATTTACTTATTTTTAATTTCTTATAACTACATCATTACAAATTAAGAACTATAGTACAAAAGTCTATAAATAACTAATTTTGATAACAATCTTGGCTATAATATCAAAAGTGTATAACTAAAACACATCTACAACATACTACCAACTACTCCGCTCACACAATAACAGTATTATATAAACATCGATAGTTAGAAATTCAAAGAATAGTTATATTAAAACAATGTTACTTAATGTTGATTATTTTTTAATTATTCGATTATCATTTTCACTGTTGTCGCGATAACATGATGAAAAAAAAAATTATGTAATCTACAACTGAATTAATCTAATTAAATTTTTTACTATCAAATATTACATAATAATGCTGTATTTTTTTTTTTCAGAACCATTCAAATCACGTTAATATAAATTATACATTTAACACATATAACCATAAAAGTACTTTGGAATTCAATTTATTTTAATTTTTCATTGTTCTTTAAAAATAATTGTCATTCAAATAGATAGCTAAACGATGCAGAACAACTTATTAAAAAGCATGATAAGTGTTTAACATAAAACAATAGTTACTGAGATTTTGTATATATAAATAAGTAACGTTGTACTTTTATGTATTTTACAGTAGAAACTGTTTTAAAGTTTCAAAAAACAATTAAATCTATAAATATCGAAGTAACACATAATTTTATTCGAAACTTGCATCGAAATAAATAAATTTTTTTTCTATTTTTAAAATTGTCAGCAATTTGGCTTATAAACTATAAAAATTATTTTAAAAGATAATTTTACATATTATGTGTTAAATAAGGCTGTTAAAATCATAGAAAGTTACATTTTTAATTTTATATTTATTTATTTATGTAAAATAAAACTATTTCCTACAATCCATTTCCAATTTACTTACATGTAGTTTAAAATGATTAAAACTAAAAACAGAATATACTTTCTTCATAATGTTATATTATATTATATATTATAATAATTACTAAAAGTTTTGAATAACAAATTACCACATATTGTAGCCAATTGATATGGTTGTATCAAAATTTTTAATTCAACAAAAAGTCAAGTTCAAAAGAAATTTCGTTACGAGGAAAACTAACCGTTAACGTGCAAGTATACGGCGAAACCACCACCAACCTTGTTATGTACTCCAATTTACAACGGTCATCGTTAAATTGACGTAATGTAAAATACACGAGATTTTCGCGATGAAACCACTCACTTCGCCAAAGTTCTCAATGCCACGACTAAGTGATCGAAATCCATAAACTTCCGGTCGCCGGACATGCAACGGTATCCCCGTGGGCATTCATTTTCCAGGACGATCGCGTCGCGGAACGCCTGATCGCCGCATTCGTTGCGCCCGTAAAAGTAACGGCAGAGTGATGGCAGACGGTCCTGTCCCTGGGCGCAGTCCAATAGGAATGGCTTGATCCGTTCGTAGAACAGTTTCTCGTTGTGGAACTGCGCGTCGTTGGTGCACAGCGCGATCATTTCGGGAGTCCGGTGTTTGAGCTTTATCACGAGCTGATGGCTGCGGAGGCCGTCCGGTTCGTCGCGCAAGGTGACCGTCCCGTACAGCACCACGGACGCGAACTGGTCTTGTCCCGTGTGACGGTTATCCAGCGTGAACGACACGAACCCGCGCCCCGGACCGAACGCACCGATGGCCGTCATATCCTCGACCGCCCGTTCGATGGACCAATCGCGCGACGGTTCCGACATGGTGTAGTCGCGTTCAGGCCGACAGCGGAATCGCACTGCACCTAGGGATAAAGTTTGGGTACAATTTTTCCGATCCGACGACTACGCACTGCAAGTGAATGGTCCGAGTACAATATTCCAACCACGCAAACCTCACGCGCCCGGGGTTATCGGCGTCCGAGTGAACCGCAGTGCCACCGTGTTAACGGCGATAAAAAGAAAACCGTCCAAATTTTTTTTATTTTAATAATCGGTTGCCTGCGCATATAACAAATATGATTTCACCGAAACGTCATATCCGTTAGCTCAACACCAATATCTACAACCGACGTCCCTCGGATAAACCAACATTGAGTCGGTTACCGGTCGAAATCGTGGAAAATTGCACCAACTGTTGTAATAGCGGAACTATAATGAGTGACACGTATTTTACAGCGTAAAAACTAAAAAAAATACACAATTACAGTTGGCGCAATTATCGCTGATTGTGATTTATTATTTATTTTTACATTTTATAGCATTAGGAATAAAAAATAGTATTCATTAGTTTAATAGTTATATTACTTTAATAGTTAACAATAAAAATAATCGCAGTTAATATTTATATAATATACGTACTGTGGAATAATTATACTTGCGAATTAAAGTTACAAGATACGCATTTTATAAAGTTTAAGATATCATAAGGAGGTACTATATCTATTTACTATATCTTCTATTTTTTTTTTTTTTATCTTTTTATTTATGTATAGTGTGGTTGTTGTTCAGAAATTAGTTTCTCGTACTTTATTTGTTGATGAATTTGTTCATTTTTTAATCCATAAATGAATGTTCAATGATGTGAATCGAAAAAAATAATATGTATTTCACACGTTTCGCGTGCTCTTACCATCACTCCCCCTTTATCAATGTTTTATCATATCGCGATTAAATTAATCGCTCTTTTTGATGTACCGTGACTTATGCTGTTCTTATTGTTATTGCGATTTCTACTTCGCTATAACTGTTTCGCGGTTATGATCTATGCCTATTAAATCGACTATCGAACGTTCTCGAAAAACAAATTCTAAAATAAAAATCTGAATGTCATGAATAAAAAATAAATACCGAATTTTTAACATTCGCTATAGAAAACAAAAAAAAAGTTTATAACACAAAAAAAGACAATTCCATTCTCTTACTGATCCCATTGGATTTTTAGCTGTTTCAAATAAAGATAAAACCGACCTTTTTGGCAATATTTTATTCAGTGTTTTCATACCACATCCTGATATTTTATTTAACTTTGGACATTCAAAAATAATCGATCAATTTTTTGACAGTCTTTTCCCTGTTCCACAACTTTCCAAACCCACTACTCTAATAAAATACTATTTTAAATAAAAGAAATAAAATAACGTAAATCGCCTGGCTATGAGTTAATATTAAAAAAAATTTAATAAAATTTAATCTAATAAGCACAAAAATGTAGTTACTTTCAAAAGACCAATTAGTCTATTACCGACTTAAACCATTTGAAAAATACTTTAAGCATAAAATATCATTGCTAGTACTCAATTTGTTATATGTAAAACTCGACTCTCAAAAGTATATTAAATACATAGGCTAACAGATCTAATATCATTTTTATTTTAGAAAAAATAGAATTTTCTTAGTGTATTTATAAATCTATCACAATGCTTTTATTGCATAAAGCTTTACAAATTCAAAATATTCTTATTTGCTCCATATTATTTAATAATAAGATCCTACCTTTTTGACGCTGGTAATGTTTAACGTTATAACTGAACGACTTCACATTCGGAAAGAGCACACCAAAATGATTTAGTATCATTGTATACTATGTTTGTATATTAATAATAAACCGGAAATGTTTATCTGTTTAAATATATATATATTAATTATAATTGACGAAAGCAACTGCAGAATTGCATGCATGTTTCAAGGTTGCAACCAATTACAAGGAACATGAAGAATACTATCATTAAATCAATTATTAACCCGTCGCTCACGTCAATATGTCGGCTACAGTGTTTTCACTACAAGAAGATGAACTTATTATCGAATTCAAAGAACGACAGCAAACAATCAAATTGTTCGTGACAATACGAATAAACTCTTGAAATTTGACACGTCATTTTCGAACGAATGTCCACTCATATTTATTCAAATTTCAACTATCCTTTAACACCGTGGTTTAAAAATAATTTTTTTTTTTTTTTTAGTCATCAAATACAAAAATAATAATTCTTTCAGTTAATCTTCTAGCGACTTTAGAATCAATGAATTATTACTCATTAAACAAAATACACTCAATGACTCAACGGACACGGGCGTTCTAATAATATTCAGAACCGAGTAGCTGCGATAGGTTGCACATTGGACACCGTTTTTAATTTCATTTTTATTTTTAATTTCATAACAATACAACCAAAACTGCAACTATTAAGCTTAGTGTAATTGTGACAAATAGTTTATTAATTTATTGAAGTATGTTTTTTTTCACAAGCGCAATAATTAATTTATTAATCAGCATTAATTGCATATTTTTACGATAATATTTATTGTTCTGTTAATCATACCTATAGAAAACTACCGAGTTATTAATTTAAAAATAGCTTAACCAAATTGTAATTTTCTTTCATACATTCTTTATCCTTATTTGTATTTTTTAGATTTATTTTTATTTGAGATTAAAACTTATAATACGTATAAATTCAAATCATGGAGAAAAAACGTCAGAACACAAATATATTAACGTTTTTTAAAAAAAACAAAATTAGATGATAATATTGTAAACAAAAAGTCTGAAAATGAAATTATGCCCCAAAATGAAGATGATAAATCCAACTCAATCCATTCTCCTGCTACTAAAATTTCAAATACAAGAGATATTGGCAACTATGTAGGTTTTAAATTTAATAAAATAAAAGACGACGAACTTTATGATATTCTACGTGATCCGTGGGTTCCACATGAAAATTTTATTTTTCCTTTAATTTCTCAAGTAGATAAAAATCGTTCCTTTAAACTTCACTGGATAAACTTGGATCAATAAATTTTCACAATTTACCTACTAAATGGATTGGCTGTGCGATTCACCGTGGCAACAATGGCGCACACAGGGAGGGTAAGGGGTGTCGACTGACACCCCTCAGAGAATTGGTGGATGACTAATTCTGTGTGAACTTGTATGAATATTTATTTAGTTTAATACTAATCAATTTTTCAGCTATCCAAATCCACATACTAATTATGTTTACCCTAGAACTAAAGCGTCACATGAGAATAAGTAGTAGGGCTCAATCTCAAAAATTATGCTATACAAACTTATAAATTAATATCTAGAAAATTTAAAAATAATTAATATTAGGTTAATTTAAAATTTTTTAATTTCACTATTTCCAGTGGCGTAGAATAATTGGCTAGTGCCCCAGTCAAACAGAAAAAGTTACCTTTTTAACCAATTAAAATTTGATGTTATGATATTTTTTTAACCTTTAATTTTACTAATATTTTTAAATATACAATTTATACTTATAAGTTATTATTACAGTGTTAATTTTAAACTTTGAAAATTTGCTTTTCTCGCTTTATGACTGGCAAATTCATCGATAATTTCTTCACGAAATTTTTTATTTAAATACCCTATTTTCATAATTTCATCATTAAATCCACATGTAGTGTGTACAAATAGACAATATTAAGTATTTCAAAAAGTATAATGAAAAAATGTTGATTTAATTGTAGGATAAAAATACGGCTGTTGTACAATTTTGCGTCCCTTTGCAATTTGCGCCCCTGGCGTAGATACAGTTCGCCTTACCCTTGCTACGCCATTGGTGCTTCTAGTATATCACTAAAATTTTATTTCAGTAAAAGCAACATACCATTAATTAAAATTAGTATATTAAAAATATACAGGTAATGTTGTCTCAAATTGTCAAAAATTGAAACTTGTACGTGTAAAATAAATGTACGCCTAATATATTTGTACTCATTATAAATTTTAGTTGTATATTCTTATACTTGTTTGTCTTTATATTTATATTGTATGTAATCGTATTCTTCTGAAAATTTTTTAATTGTTGTACTAATATTAATTTTTAATTGGGTTCGTCGTATATTGTTAAAAATAAAATAAAATTTAAACAGTTTTTGTTATTCTTATATAACCACGGTATTATGAATAAAATAATACGTCATACGTCAAGACATACATTCAATATTACAAAAATTTTATATACATTTAAATTCTATGTGGCTTATAACACATCATCTTACATATAGGTAGTATTATACACATAAATTTATGTCACGTATGTTAACTTAGTAAGGCTTATGTTTAGTACAACATCTAGAATCAAACAATTTACGGAAAAAGAAGATTTTAAAAATATCCGTTTCTTTATCGTGAGTAATTTTGAATAAATATATAATTGCTTTTAAAATCAAATAATTATAAAGCATGTCAATTACCCACGTTACGTTCTTGTATTGGATGTTATAGCTTTATCAACATTGAACAGACCAAATAATAAATATTTTAAAAACAATTTTTTTTTTAACTCCTCCAACACATTCCAATAAATGACCTGTATTGACCAACTAGTCCCAGTAAGGTTTGAAAAAAAGGGCATATTTGAGGGGGGGTGAAGGGAGCATTCGCCCCCCCCCATGGCTCGCATTTTTTTTTAATATATACATTGATTTATTTAAAAAATGTAATGTGAGAATAATTAAGAATAAAAATTACTAGTCTATCATTATAAAATGATAATAAATTCAATAATGTGCCAATTACTCACTACTCTTTTAGCGTATGCGGATGACATTGTAATATTCAGAGAATCAAGAATGGATTTAGAAGAGTTAGAGAGAAAATTTAGAGACTGTAAGAAAGCTCATAGCAACAAGTATGGGACTTAAAATAAATGAAATTAAGACTAAGTATATGCTAATGAGTAGGCGCCCAGCTACTTTTCAAAATCTAAATGTTCATCATTTCTCTTTTGAACAAGTCGAGAATTTCAAGTATTTAGGTGCTAATATAAATCAGAAAAACAATATGCATAATGAGATTAAAAACAAGATAAATGCGACAAACCGAACGTACTACACAATGAATAAAATATTAAAATATTAATAAAATGTTCACATCAAAACTTCTTTCAAAAGACACGATGATAAAGCTATACATCACCTATTTACGCCCTATTGCCATATACGGATGTGAAACATGGTCCACGACGAAGGGTGATGAGAACAAACTATTGACTTTCGAAAGGAAAGTACTTAGAAAAATCTATGGGTCTGTGTTAAATCCAATAACTGGTTTGTACGAGCGGAGAAAAAATGCAGACTTAAGCAGATTGTATAATACTCCAAATTTACTAGATTTTTTAAGATCAAAAAGAATTTAATGGGCTGGCCATGTTTGGCGAGCAGAGGGAAGATTGATCAGGTAGGTGCTCATTAACAAGCAAAATAAAAAACGACCAGTGGGAAGGCCACGTCAACGATGGATGGATCGAGTAGGAGATGACTTAAAAAGATTGAAAATTGGAGCGAGTATTGACGATGCAGAAAATCGAGAACTTTGGAAAACTTTGGTGGTAGCTACGAAGCACCTGAATGGCGCGTGAAGCAAAAAAAAAAAATATTAAAAAAATGTTGCCAATTTGATCACAGGTATCAATTTTTATTTATTTTCATATATCATAACATTTTTGATTGTGAAACGAATAGTGGTATATTCTTCCACAGATATTTCTACGGTTATAGACATTTACAAACATAACCAAGGTATTTATCAGATAATAAAAAGTAATTTAAAGTAACACTTTTTTTACCACATATTTACTAGTTAGTCAATTTTTGTTGCATTTGTGCATATTTTATATTTTCGTATTTATTAGAGCTAAGTCCTTAATAACTTTACTCGCCTATTTTTTTTTTTTTTACAACATAATATATTTTTTTTTGTGCATAGGTATTTAGTCTTTTTTTTGTTCACAAATGCATACATATTTGTGTATTTTATAGAACTAGAAGCCCCTAAGCCAAATAATAATCATAATAACTAACAATATTTGTTTCCACAATCTTTGCATCTAACTTGAAAATATTAACCAAAAATATATTTTTGTAAATTTAAAACATGGTTAAGATAAAGAATAGGCCAGCATAGACTAACAGGTTTGGCTTTGCTGCATGTGCATAAAAATATTATTGTATCCATTGATGAAACAATCAACAAATTTGCCAAAATGAAAAAAAGAAATTTGGAATTTATTATTTGACCTCTTACCAACCGTATGTTTTCTACTTAGATATTTGTTAAATTAATTTACCTATCTTAATTAATTTTTTAAAGTTTTTAAAAAATAATTAATAGGTACTATTAATACTATTGATTGTTTGTTGTTTTTTTTTTTTGTACAGGATTCAGACTGAAGATACAATTTTAATATAAGAATTATTTGTGTTATTATTATTAATACCTATTTAATATGCAGTAGGTTTCTGAATATATTTATTGAATAAACATTTAATTCAATTTGGTACTTGTATTTTTATTTATTCCCTCGAATGAGCAACAGGAAGATGAGCTGTAGGTAATGAACTAGAGGCATACCCAGGAGTTTTTTAGGGGGGGGGGGGGGTTCCAACATTTTTATTTTATTTGTTCTCTGATTATAATTATAGTTTAATTCAATACCAACAAATTACTGTTAATAACTACAGTAATAGTCACAATAGTTATCATTCACACATCACACATATTCTACATAAAGGTTTACTATAATCCCCTTAGGTACGCAGCTGTAATGAATTGCAAATTATTTT